TCTCTGCAATAGCAGTTCACACTAAACGGAGAGCTTATGTTACACTGCTTTCACTATCCGATGAAAATAATAATAAAGACGGAGGAACGGTATTGCTTGTGGTTCAGGGAGTAGCAAAGTGTAGCATACAGGCCCGTGCTCGTTTGGGTAATCATTGAGACATCAATGTGTGGCTTGTTCCTTACTGAGATCAGACTAATCATATATACTGCCCTGCTTAAACGTGTTGGTGCCCTGGTGGTATCGTAATCAATCGTCACCTCGGAGAATGTGTGTTCAGATCCCCCCATCAACACTTGTCTTTTTCCATCATGCAGCCTTCTGATTGGTCGCTTCCCACTTCGTGAAAATTGTATCTTTGCATACTCAATACGAGTAAGTAAAATAAAAATGACACAATTTAATTTCGACGTTTGGACAACATGAAACGATACTCGGATAATTTTGGTATATATCGGCAAAATCGATAAATTCGGAATTATTGGCCCAGGAACAACTTCATTCACATAACGTTTATAAGGAGCCAATTCAGTAAATAGTAAAATAAAATATTGTTTGTGGCCTATTCGGGATGTTTGGGAATTTGAAGAGCTAGAAGGGATTAACAAATTGGGTCGGATGCGGAAGAGTGCTGCCATAACGGAACAAGTATAAGGAAGGACCGTGTAGAGATGTGACCAATGCGATGTAAGACTGTTTACTGGTACTAGGTGGGATATCAATGAAGCATTCAGAGATCTTTGTGTGGTAGAAGGTGGTACAAAAAGAACCCCGGCTAACCAACGGATCAGTGATGAAAACAGGTAATATAAGCCCCGGACTTGAAGTGGTGAACCACATAAGAGCCCGATAGGTTAGGCGTGGTATTGAACCAGATGACGTCAAAGCTACCTACCATCATCTATGTCGATTACATTCAGTAACACTGCACATTCCCCTTAGAGTACGAAGCTTGTATTGGCCCAATCAATATTTCCGAGGCACCAGGCCCTCTTGGTGTTCTTGGGTGTGGATTTAGCTCTTTGGGAGATCTTTAATTCCCCACGAATATCAGAAACATTCCATCGCGATTGGATGCATCATTCATTTACATCAAGTTTACTCAGCTCTCAAGGGTTGACTAACTCGGTGTTGATTTTGGCAACAACAGATCTTCCCTGCATTGTGGAAAAACAAGACAAAGTGGTTGGACCGTAGCCAGTTAATTCGGAAATGACTGAAATTTCCGGTATACGCTACACTGAGATTAGAATTTATTTCCGTTCATCAGTCTTTGGTTTGGCATATTGCGAATGTGAATTTTGCCGTACAAAATAGTCAGAGAAGCTACAGGGATAACATGGTATAACAAANCTTGAGAAATCCCTCAAAGTACAGCAAACTGTTTACAGTTACTTCGGTTCAGGTACTGGCACTTGCCACTTTGTCTTGATTCTCCACGCTTGCAGTGTGTTTCACGTTCATCTGAAAGTATTCACTTACAACAGGAAATNAGGAAATCAGTGTAGTATACCCCCAGACGTAAAAGTATGCTAACTTCAGTTATTGTCAAGCGATTGTTCAATTTCACTCTTAAAGAATGAAAACACCACCCAGGGGTTTATCATACTGGCATTGAATTTACGTAACAATTATATGAATGCATGTGAAAGGTATCAATCATCGATATCCCGCCCTCAAAATGGTTAGAAGCACAACATAAAAGCCAGCGGTTAGCAGCCCATATTAACATACAGAAAATAAAATCGAATATCGTAAAAATAGTGTTGATCACCTTGTGTATTAGCGGTATCGTTGGCAAGTAACGCAGAACCGATGACACGTTCAATAACTAGCACAAAATACAAAGGATTGTAAAGACGTTTATGCAACGAAAGAGATACACAAGTTTGTTATATTAGGCAGTGGCATCGGTTGTCAGTACCGCGTGAAATCGGATTCCGGTCAAGCGGTGAAGGTATACGTTAATGTAAGTGAATAATGACTGTAAGTAAGTATGATTGAGGCAGTGAAATGTGAGATTTAGTTGTATGTTTCCATATATTTTCATTTTTTACAGGGGACGAGTGGAACCAAATGTGTAACAGTAACTAGTGACGGCAAAACTGAAACGCTGTGTCCATCCAGTGCAAAGAATCAGTTTACATCTGACTCATCGATTGAGGTGAGCGCGAGTTCAGAGGCCACAACGAGAAAACCAACTGAGGCCACAACAGAACCAACGACAAAACCTACAGAACAATCTCCACCCGAGGAGCCATCGGATTCAGAGCAGCAGCAATCGCCCAAACACCCGAATAGCCCGAGAGCAGAAGCAAATGTTCAACAAAGCCAAGCATCGAAGACTAGTGCACAACAAGACGGCCAAGGGAAACAAAATCCAGAAGATGAAGGATCAAAGGAACAAAAATCTTCACTCAAGGCTGCGCTTTTAAGGAAAGCTAGAGATAATTCTGAAACCGCTGGATCCAACGATGTCACTGTCTACTACGTATTAGATGAGTGTTATATAGCAGCTAATGTGCCGCACGTACGGAAGACAAACAAATGCTTTGAAGTATGTTTCAAAGTTTTTCCGGCTGTATTCAAATTGCACTAAATGAAGCTGCTACCATTTAATCCCACTATATTACATTTCAGATGGTGTATCAAATTATAATCATTCAATGTTCTCAATATTTGGGTTTGTTGCACATCTCATAAATTACAGTAAATGGTGAGTTGCAAAACATAACTTTTTTCAGGTAATTTGATCGATTGATGCTGTCTCATCTACTTCAAGTATTTTTGTTTACATGGCCAATAAGAATAAAACAAATAATTGTTCTCATTTTGCTTTGCAGAAAACTGGAAGACTTCGAAAAGCGGCACATAACTATAATTAACTGGAATACGGTATATATTACATAGATAAACTACCCTTAACTCCATGCTTGTCTTGCTGTTGTTTATTTCGCCAAGCGGTTGTTCTCTTCCTAAAGGAGGGCGCAGACCATTGAAAGCAAGTGGTAATATGTAATCGCACCGGTGCTTCACACGTGAAAAGAAAGAATATTGTTTTGACGTTACAGCCATCACATATACCCTCTGATTCAAATCCATCAAACTCGATGTGAAAGATACCCACAATTTATTAACGAAGACTTCGGTATATGTGAAATTTGTTAAGAAATTAAAATGGGTATTTCGTGACGAAACATCAGATGAAAATTGAAGTAACCGAAAAGGATAAGTGGTTTTCAGGTTTCGCATAATTGTCCACACAAATGTTTGTAACTTCGAAGTCAAGTGACGCTCATAACAACCGAGTGAATGTATTCCAAACATGTCGAAATCTATCTGGAATTTCATCATACACTGAGAGACGGAAACTCCTTTAGTCGTTAGCAGATAATTTCGACCAGGCCAATAGATGAAACCTGTTGAGCATTACTGACATTCAGCCTCCATATTTCATTAGTGAATTGTTTTTTTCCAATCTCAACGTTTTCCTTGTTGCACTTATACCTGTTTCTATCAGAACAGATTCCGCACTGCTCCGAATAAAACGCTCCACCAAAGTAAATTTTCAGCCAATAAAAACAGATTTTTTCTGTCCGATGTAAGACGGACTCGCATAAATCGAACCCCGAATTTGTATCCGAACACAAGACTGGGAAATCTACGGTAACTATCGCATAATCATTCATGAATTAATGGATATACAACGGCATACCTACAATTAGGGGCAAACCGGAATGTACAAAACAATCGGTTCGACACGACAAAAGCGGACATACCAGGAAAGCCCTCTCCTGGAAATCAGAGGAGAAATGCGAAGTGGTTATAGACGCAGTACTATTTAAAGGTGGTGAGGAAAAATGACAACGATGGCATAGCGAAGTGACACCAAAGGCGGGCGGGGGACGATAGACGGCAACCGTAATCACGGTGTAATTGGGTGGTTAAACACACAAGGCTGGCGGTAGCATGTAGGTTGGGAAATAAATCATTGCGAGAAAGAATGAACAGTGACAACAGAGAAGACGGTAGGATAATCATAGTGGGTGGGTGATGAGCAGGTGACCACAATAACACGAGGAAGTTTCTATGCCCGGTAGAGATAATTGATAACGGTAATGGATAGAGCTCAGTACGAGTGATGACAGTTACTACGACACAGTTCCACGT